ACAGTTTAGCATCGTATAACCTTGAATACTCTCACACCCTCATTGAATCTGTCTCATCATCTGCAAAATGGGAACAAAAACAGCTTTTTCTAGGATTGTGGGAGGGTTAAATAAAATGCTGTATAAAAAGTACCTACCAAACATCCAGTCTAGAAGGTACTCAAGGATCTTTTATCTTCTCCCATATCTTTGAATTGTTTTATTTTACTATAAAACAACAAGGGGAAGTGAAATTTAAAATATCTTTCATATTAAGAGACAACTTGAATAGATACTAATGGTTTATTTAGGCTTTTACCACCAAGTAAACTTATCTCCTTCTATCCTCTCTGAATTGTATATTTTTCTTGCTGAAAAGTACCAATGCTGTTGAAACATCAGTTGATCATCAGCAGTATGAAGGCATTGTCTTAAGTTCTTTACCTCCATTGAAAAATTTGATCCTCACAACCCTATGATTAACATTATTTCAACTTTACACGTTAGGAGATTTTAAGAGGTTATGTAATTTCACCAAGGTCACACAGCCTTGTGGGGCTGGAGTTTGGACCCAGGCTCAGTGTAGCCTCCTGGCTTCTGTTGCTCAGTCTTGGAGTCTGGAGCTTTTACTTTGTTAGTTTACGGTGTTTGCTTCTACTCTTGTCAGCTACGCCTATCACTTTTACCTCCACTCTCCTCAGAGCTCTTTGCAGAGTTCTAGCGTACAGGTGCTCGTCTATTCCTTTTTCTCCAGCCTTTATAACTTGTAAGCACTTCCTCCCTACAATGGTGACATCTCATGCTAAGAGCAATTGAACATGCTTAAAGATGACAGAAAGTATATCTTTCAGAGTATAGGGGGAGCAGCTCCTCTTTTTTTGACTTTCAACTCTGCACTGTATTCCAGAGAGGAGTCCAAGATAGCAATCAATCTGATGCAGGGAACAGGATGGGATGACTCCCTATGCCGTGGTAAATTCTAGGAAACAGATTGTTAAAAACTATAGTAGCAATGTTAACCATCAACATTAGTGCCCTTGGGTCTCAGATGTACTGGCTTTTTCATATAAAGTTCTATCTTGTTCAGTAAGAAACCTTGTAGTGTGAAGACTTGGTTCCATTTAATCTCCTCATTCACTCAGTGAGTAACTATTGGGTGTCTACTATTTGGTATCCCAGTGGTTTCTAGTGAAGAGAAAAAGTCTCTACTCTGATGTGGGAGAATATTGGGAATAACTAAATAAATAAACAAGATCTTATTCAGTAGTCCTAAAGCTGTAATGAAAATAAAACAGGATGATGTTAAGAGATGCAGGAGTGCTTTGGATAGGATGCTTGTGGGAACTTTTGCTGTCCGCTGAGAAGCTAGTTCTCTGAAGAAGGCCTCTGCTGTGGCCCTCTACCCTTGCAGAACAGTTTAGCTGCTATGATTGATATAGTGAAGAGAAGGGAGTTGCTTCCCTTTGATGTTTTTATTTGATGGCTGTGAATCCTCAGTAAATATAAAATGATGACAACTTAAGCATTATAATAGGAACAATGAAGACAGGATGCAACAAATAAAATGCTTGAGCATGAATATGAATTATTGAAAAATCAAAAGACTGGGTCAAATTGCTTCTTGGCATCTGACTTATATAGTATTTATGCTGCTTGAATATTTAGTTCTGGTATATTTCTTAGAGGAGGAATTCACTTTCAAAACTAATAGTCCTTAGTCCAGTGCTAATAAGAATAGATTTATTGTGATGATAGTCTCTCCTTAAGGAGGCATATTTGCTTCTTTGGTTCTTGTTGAACGTTAGGATGGTGACTACATTATCAATACCAGACACTATTTATTTGTTTAGGTGTTTATTTGTTTGTTTTCTGTCACCCTACATTAAATTCTTGCTCTTTTGAATTCCTTTAGTGTTTGCTGTGCTAGTGACAGCTGTGGTGTAGTGGAAAGAATGTTGTCCTAAGAGGTGGAGGACCTGTGTATCAGTCCCCCTTCTGTTATTGACTGTGTATCCTTCTGCAAATCATTTTTTGTCTGTCTACCCACCTACCTATTTGTCTGTCCATCCGTCCATCCGTCCATCCATCCATCCATACATCCATTCATTCATCATCTTTCTACCTATCTACCTACTTATGAGAGCCTTAGTTTTTTCATTTACAATGAGAGAATATGTGTTGTATTATTAGATTATATTTTATAATACGAAAGTGGGGTGAATGAGCCTTTTGGTCATCTCATCGTTTCAAATACAGTTTTTCATCAAGTGTATAAACCCCAAAGCTGATGACCCCTAAAGAAAATAATGCAGTGTAAAACGAATTTTAACATGTGATCAGTGGACATGAGTATATTATCTATGAATGTAAATACAGACTTCATGATGTATCATTCTATGCTTTTTAGCCTCTTCCTTTCATGGGCTATTAGTAATTATCTTCTTTAAGAACTGTTTTTAACATAATAACCCCCTTTACGTTAGTCTAAGGTGGCTCCAAATGGGAGTTACTCAGAAAACAGGTTTGAAGATCTGGAATTTTCACATAATAGCTGTGCACTCCTGGGAAGCTGTCTTAGCCTTTCTTTAATTGAGTTTCCTCATGTATAATATAGATATGATATCGCTTTACTGAGTTGTGAAAATGAGACAATTGTGAATGAGGGAATCGGAGTACCTGTCTTGGTGCTCAGCACAAGGTTGGTTTTCAATAAATGTTTTTTTGACACTGAATTTTCCACAAATGATTTCATATTTTTGATGGAGAAAAATTTACTCTCAGCTCTTATGAGCACACATCTCTGCTTATAACACAATACATACAACTGTGTCATTTTGAAATCTACCGTCTGTATGTTCTCCCTGCCTATAATGCTCTCCCACACTGGAAAGTATTTTAACTTCCCTCACTAAATGACTTGAGTGTTATATTCATGAAACTTGCCCAGAACTCCCCACCTTAGTACTCATGTGAAACTGAATTCATGTATATACGTGTCTATTTGTGTTCTATCTGAATATTTTAATTTTGATTTTCGTCTCTCTAATTCCTTTCTTTCCCATTTTGTATTTTGAGTTTGGGGAGGTCCAAAAAAAGTGTTGTGCCTTTAAATTTTTTGCCATGTCTGTTCTAGGGTCTAGAGTACAGACAAATTCCACATGTCATTGGTTGCCTTTGAAAGTGGAAATTATGTTTTGATCATGCCACACTGAGCTCAGCACATTTTGAGTGATCAATAACTATTATCTAACAATGGAGAATTGTATCTTTTCATGAAGTGTGAGACTCTTTGAGCTAATAGCTACAATCTGGTCATTTGGGGGAAAGACTTCCTACAGGATTTGGGCAGTTTTCAGAGAAGTTTAAAAGAAAAGTGAGATTAAGAAGTATACCTAGGAGTAGACTAGAGAAGACAGTAAGAGGATGAGAAGTAAAGACTCTGAGGCGATCTATCTGAATGAATGAAGCAGAAAAGGGAGTTGGGAACCCTTCTGTGACAGGGTGTATTATTCTATATTACAGATCAAAGAGTTAGTTTGGCCGTGTTATCAGACATATAGCGTTATTTATTTATTTATGTTTTTGGTGAGGAGGACTAGCCCTGAGCTAACATCCAATGCCAATTCTCATCTTTTTTTGCTGAGGAAGACTGGCCCTGGGCTAACATCCATGCCCATCTTCCTCTACTTTATATGGGACGCCACCACAGCATGGCTTAACAAGCGGTGTGTCGGTGCGCGCCTGGGATCCGAACCTACGAACCCCGAGCCACTGCAATGGAGCGCGCGCACTTAACCACTGTGCCACTGGGCCAGCCCCTCATATAGCCTTATTTTTTAACATTATTTTTATTAAAATGGAGTTAGCCTTAGATTTGGAGAGGTTTTTCTCTTCATTTCTTTGACTGAGAATTATATAGTGATGAGAAGAAATATTTCCATTCTTATTGAATCTCTTTCCATGCTTACTTACTCCCCCTAATATAATTAGAATTAATACTTCCACTGCATTTCCAAAGCCTGAAGATTCTGCTTTTAAATACTAGCTTGCTTAAACAATAACCAAAATTTTAATTATCTCCTTTTTTATAAAAGTAATTAATCTTTATATAAACCAATAAGAGAATACAGAATAAAAAAGAAAAATATAACAGTGTCCTAAAACTCCATCATGTGGACCTATATTAATATTTTGATTTATATCAGACCAACCATGCAAATTTATGGAATGAAGGAGAAGGAAAGGCTGTGGATGAGATAGTGCCCAGGAGAAGAGCCAGCTATGAAAGAAAACGAAATCAGAGGCTCTGAGCTGACCCCGAGCTGTTGACATAGACATATATACCTTGTATAATCGTATATTTTTAAAAACAGAATCATGGTATACAAATTATTTTGACTTTCTATTTTTATGTATTATATTGTAAGCATCATTCTATATGATTAAATAGTCTTCTAAAGCATCTTTCTTATAGATAATTTAAGTATTCTGTTGTTCGTTCCACAATATTTTAAACTAATTCTCTTTGTCGAGTGTTTAGGTGATTTCTATCTTTTAAAAATTATAAACTTATGTGGACATGAAGATCTCATTAGATAAATCCATATTCACAATCATGATTATTTCCTTAGGATAAATTTTTAGAAATGATATTACAGTGTCAAAGGATATGCATCTTTAAAAGATTTTTTTGATACATATTGCCCTGCCCAGCTGTGATCCAAAAGAGTGGTTGCCAGTTTATATGCCCTCTGGCTAGGTGTGAGAGTGTATTTTTCCACACAATTACCCAGGACACAGATGCTATCCCTCTGTGAATATCAGTAGCTTGATTTCATTATCATACACATACACATGCACTCTTACATGTCTGTATATACATGTCTGGTTGTATATCTATAATCATTCTTACTTACAGAATATACTTTATGTTATGAACATGTTAACTTACTATATCAAATGAGTTTGTAAACATAATTCTGATATGTCTGCTCCTAAATGTAATTGTCTTGACTTCCTAGGTGCCTGCATGAACATCACCCACAGCCAATGCCAGATGCTGCCCTACCACACCACGCTAACACCTCTCTTCTCAATTATCAAAAACATGGAAATGGAGAAGTTCCTCAAGTTCTTCACGTATCTCCATCGCCTCAGTTGCTATCAACATATCATGCTTTTTGGCTGTAGCCTTGCCTTCCCTGAGTGCATCGGTGATGGTGATGACAGGTATTTTGGAACCAAAATCATTCAGTGATAAGGGTCAGTTGTAGCAGAAGTGTCTGTGAGGCACAAAATCACCCCAAGCTATCACCTTTTGTTTTCGTTGTTGTTAAAGGAGAAAAAACTCCACACCGGTCATAGCCCGTTGTAATTCTTTTAAACTAGGAATTTTTTGAAAGCCTGGAATAATTTTATTTATGGGAAGAAATTATTCAGGGTGTTAGATTGAGTCAGTCAGCTGGGATCCTCGACAGCTGATTCGGTGAGGCTCTGGCAGAAGACAGAGAGCACACTCAAAGGGGTGGCTGAAAAGAGTTTATTGAAGAGAAGATTTATGGAGCTGTGGACAGGATTAAGAGAACAAATGAGTGATGGAAGGCACCAGGGTCTCACGATAGGGGGATGCAGTTCCACCACCCAAGACTTGAAGGGGGAAAAGGGCAGGCAGCACCTGGAGAGAGTTGTAGCTGTGGGCGAGCGGTCTCCCAACAGGCCAAGTACTGTGAGTCCACAGAGGAACACAGCCACTGCCGGCCCTTCAGTCCTGCAGGGAGAGAGAAGAAGGAACAAATACCCTGACCTCACTCTCCTCCTGCTCTCCCATTTGCCAGGGCCTTCCACCAACTGAACTCACCCACAACCATTGGGCAAGGGCATGCAATCAATGTGAGCTCAATAGATGAGGTCCAAAATCTCATCTAAATATCATCAGTTCAAAAGTCCCAAATTTCATCATCTAAATCAGGTGCGGGTGAGATGCTGGGTGGTTCTTATGGTCAATACTGGAACCCAGAGCAGGGTGAAGAGGGTGAAGGGTAGATGCAGAGGGACAAACAGAAACTGTCCAGCACAATATCAAATAGGATTAGAAAAAAAATTTTATTAAGAATAAATCAATGAAAAGTATGTCATGGAATATTTGAAATGCCAGGAATACATTTTTTAAAAAATTTCAAAGCATGTGTTAAATACATAACTGCATATGACATCAATTATTTTCTGAATTAAAATGTTAGGAATTTTTCTGAATTATAATGTTAGAATGAATTGCATTTTCAAGTGCAAATAGGTTCCATGTTATTTGTATTAATTTAATTAGTGTGTAAAATATGTTTTGAATAGAGCAAAGGCATTTATTATTTTAACTGGAAAAAGCCTGCATTGCCATAGAACAAAAACTAGGTAGAATAGAAACAGTAGATTCTGAATTGTAGATGTAAGTAAAGAACTATTAGCAGACAGCATTCAGGAAAATGCTTTGTCAGAAAGAATCATTTACATAGGGTGCTTTCGTGGTAAAAGAAGTGAGAAATTCTGTTAGATCTTTCCCATGAGCTAAACTATGGGATGGTAGTGAAGAGGCTCTTTATGTTCCTAAGATGGTGGCAGTATAACAGAGTGGTTGTATTAGTTTCCTAGGGCTGCTGTAACAAATTATTACAAGCTGGGGTCTTAAACAGTAAAAATTTATTTTCTCACAGTTCTAGAGGCTAGAAGTCCAAAATCTGGCAGGGTTGTGCTCTCTCCGGGGATTCTAGGAGGAGAACTCATTTCCTTCCTTTGCCAGCTTCTGGTGGTTTCAAGCAATCCTTGACTTGTATCCACATCTCCCCAGTCTCTGTCTCCATCTTCACATTGCCTTCTCCTCTGTGTGTCTGTGTCGTCTCTTCTGTCTCTTATGAGGACACTAGTCATTGGATTAGGGCCCATGCAGATAACCCAAGATGATCCCATCATCTCAAGGTCTTTAACTTAATTATATCTGCAAAGATCTTTTTTCCAAATAAGGTAAGATCCACAGGTTCTAGAGGTTAGGACATGGACATATCTTTTTGGGGGCCACCATTCAACACACTACAGTGGCTGAGAAAGCAGGCCTCTCATGGGTAAAATGGAGATAATAGTTGTATTTACAAAGTTCACGTGAGGATTAAATGACAGAGAGAGATTGGAACAGTGCCTGGCTTTTACGAAGAGCTCAATAAATGTCAACCAATAGTGGATTGAAAAGGAGAGGTAGTACTAATGAAACTGAGAGCACAAAAAAGTATTTCTAACATATACTAAATACTGAAGGATTGCCAAAAAAATGTAAAATACTATATAGATTAAAAGAAAATTAGGGAGAATACTCAAGGCAGCTGAAATTGTATTCTACTTCCATTTCTCCTTAATTTCAAACAATTTCACTTACATCTCTTTGCTTTGATTTCCCTGGGGACTCATGTGTGTGCATAAATAAGACAATGAAAGAAAGTGCATTCAGCTTCCAGGAGACTCTTGATTCATTTTGATCATTCTTCTTATTATAATTCAATCTCTAATGTCAGTTAAATCAGTTGTAAAATTCTAGTTAAGCTGCTCCTAGTCTTTGGGGCACTGCACTTTTAGGTAAAATTTGTTTTTCTCCTGACCTGGTTCATCCTGAGAAATGCTCTCATATGAGAGTTTTCAATTTTCTGTTATAATGGATAATAATTTATAGTCAGTTTTCAGATATCCTTTGGAGACTTACTCTGTTTTTTATTATTACATTCATTATCATCTTTAATTGTATAATTACCCTTTCAGACCAATGCTTCCTGCTGTCATTATTACAGGCATGGGGGCTGCAAGCTAAATTTAATAAGCAAAATAAGTCCAGAAGGGGAAAACGTATTACAGAAGATAATTCTAAAGTCAAACATATTTTTCTTAGATTTCACTGTTTTGGATTATCCATTATACCAATTTTCTCTACTATTCAAATAATAAAGAATTACTTACGTTCCATCATACAGAAAACTGCTACTTAGCAACATTTAAAATTTAATTTAAAAAGATCTAGTGGGATGTATAAGTGGTATAGTTTTTAACTTGATTCCTTTGAGACCTCAGATACTCCTTAACTTTATTATGTAACAATGGACTGTAACAGTTTCTACTTTAGACTAGGATTGCTTTTATTTGTTTATTTCTTTTATAATTTTATTTATTTATTTTTTTCCCCCAAAGCCCCAGTAGAGAGTTGTATGTCATAGCTGCACATCCTTCTAGTTGCTGTATGTGGGACACGGCCTCAGCATGGCCGGAGAAGTGGTGCGTCGGTGCGCGCCTGGGATCCGAACCCGGGCCGCCAGCGGCGGAGCACGAGCACTTAACCACTAAGCCACGGGGCCGGCCCAGACTAGGATTGCTTTTAATAAATGTGTGTCATGTACTATAACACAGGCTAATTGAAGTGGATTATAATTTATATAGATTCAGTAAAATATATCTCAAAATATAGAAATTGAGCTGATAAACCATTTGGGTAGCCCTAAAATATGGGGGTTAGAAGGAATAGCTTAAAAATATCAGCAAGGGGGCTGGCCTGGTGGTGTCGTGGTTAAGTTCATGCACTCTGCTTCACTGGCCTGGGATTCGAAGGTTTGGATCCCAGGCATGGACCTGTGCACGGCTTGTCAAGCCATGCTGTGGCAGGCGTCCCGCATGTAAAGTGGAGGAAGATGGGCATGGATGTTAGCTCAGGGCCAGTCTTCCTCAGCAAAAAGAGGAGGATTGGCAACGGATGTTAGCTCAGGGCTAATCTTCCTCACCAAAAGGTAAATCAATCAATCAGTCAATCAATCAGCAAGTAGCTAGAGAGAAATTCACAGTTCCCGGGCCTGAGAATAACAGATGTTTCTGGATGACTTTAGATACACAAGGTACAGTTAAGGTCTCTGTGTTTGGAAGAGGAAGTGGGCATGGCAGCCACATGCTTTATGTGTGGGATGCCACCACACCATGGTAGGAAAGAGAACTTCTGACTCTGGATATTAAGATCTGCCCCGCTGTCACCCTGCTTCTCACACTTAATCTTGTCAATTTTGCTTCTAAAATGTTGATAATAAATCAAGATTGAAATTCTGCTATGTTGCTATCTTCCATTTGCCTTATTTTCACCTTTTAAGGTTTTGCTAAAATCTGGTGTAGGTACATGAAAGTTCTAGGCATATTTTTGTTTCATTGACTTGAGAGGAAGAGAAAAATATTAAAAGAAATGAGATATTTAAAATTTCCTTTTTGGAAGGCACTATTTGTTCATTTCTTATAAATATCCTGGACATCCTTTTAGAAGCGGCAGAGTTCCCTGGAAAAATGAGCCTGTACCCCACTTTCCATTATTTAAAGTTAAAATAAAAGTTTCCTTTATTTCAAATGCACAAACGATGTGGTTTTCCTGTTCCAACTCCATCATAGTACTAAAGAAGTCTAAGATGGCCCCTAGATGAGCAATCAAGATGGGTACCAAAGTAGTTATTGAAATGATTTTTTTTTTAAGTATTTGGTATATCAGAATTATAAAGCCTTTCTCCAACCGTCTAATTCATACTCACAATTTCTACGCCACACATCATTATATTGCCACACAATTTTTGAGTTGAACTTTACTGATAATGTTTTATTTAAAAAAAAGTAACAAATTCGTCTGCTTATAATGTAATTTTAGAAGGCTTACTGTGTTCTTAAATATGTTATTTTGTAAGACAGCATGTGTCATTCTCCTATGTAAATGTAACCTTGAAATCCTCTTAAAGGCCAATTGGAAACTATGACTTCATTTAAAACAATCTTTTGAGAAATTCATTAATTATAGAAAGTCAGCAGAAGCTGATTTTATTTATTTTTCATAAATGGACAATAATTACATACTACTAATTTTACTAAAGTTTTTATCTATGTCCCAAGAGCTCTATTGTGTTACATTTGGGCATGAATGGAAACATTACAGAATTAAAACATTTTTATAATTATAATTTTTAAAAATTTATATAGGTCAGCAGTCAAAGAAAAAAGATAAGCTTTGTTGCTATTACGAACTAAATATTCTGAAAGTCGTTTGCCCCTTGCTCCCCTGATTTTGTCTGCTAACTTGGAAGCATTATCTGCGGACTTAGAAACAGCAGTCTTTTTAGCCACACCAGTGCTGGCTACCTGGCTGTCTAGGTGGTCAATTGTATGACAGTGCCCTTTTCAACCTC